AGTTATTTCAGGCTTTCACCGTATGAGAGAAAGTTACACAGACTCCCGGCTTCTTTTGATGAAGATGTTTTTGAAGAACTTGCACAGTTCATGGGGTCCAGAATGAGATCTTCTCAAGGCAGGGCAGGTTCATCTTTTGTGTCAGGAGACGAAGCTAGAACGGCTCTTGCTGCTGCAAGAGCTCTTCCACCACCATCTCGACCCTTCAAAGATGATGAAACCCCTCTCTCAGGTTTGTAGATAGTTGAAGCGTCAAAATGGGAAATCACAATATCTTGCTTTTTAGTTTTATTTCAGTTCCACTTTTCCTTCACCTAATCTTCAATGCACTTTGCTAACGTAATTTCACACATAGTAAAGTTTCTGTTCTTAGTTTCTTTTGTATCTTTTTCCCTTTTATGGAATGCACAGTGATTCTGATAGATTCATGAAGGATTCAAAGGAACAGTATTTTTCATTCGATTCTGACTTTTGCGTCTACAAGCACTGTTTCCCAACCTTATAGGGAAGAATAATGCATTAGAAAATGAGAAATGAAAACGTTATCGATTTTCCAAGTTTGTCTTTTTATTCACCCACCTTGTCATTGTTGCAGGTACAACGAAACAATTGGCCATAACAAGTGGGGTTGAACCTTTCTTCCATGGCTCAAGAGGGGGTTTATTAGGGTTAGACACACTCGTGGACGTTTCAGGATCTTCATCATCTAAAGAGCTCCGTAGAATAGGGAAGATAAGAATGACATGGGAGGAATCAGTGAGTTTATGGGCAGAAGAAGGAGAAATACATAGAGGGAGAGTGAGGCTTCAATCTTCTAGCTTTCTGAACGCGGATGAACTCACTTGCTTTGATGAGGCCATGGTGCCTTGTCCTATGGAATATTTCGAAGATGGGCCTCTGAAAGGTTTTTCTGTTGACAGATTCGTTTCCGGACAGCAAGTCAAAGTTTTTGGCAGAAGAAAGTCTTCCCCAGCCTCAGATTCTTCTGGTGCCAAACCAAACCTGTTTCCTTAAATTTAACTACGTTGCCTTGTTTTACATATTCTAGGATTCTATCTAACTGTTTCATTGTCCCTCTTTCCCAGGTTTTGCTGAAAGAGTCCAACTTCCCTCCAAAGCACTTCCCATTAGATGTGAGTGCTCTCTTTTTCCCAGTGGTCACTACCCTCATTCCATGTTCGAGCCAGTACTCTCTTAATAACTTCTAATTTGATATGTTAAATTTAGAAAATAGAAGCAAACTTTCAGTATTAGCAACGAAAGTGTACATTCCGACCACAATCATTCTTATTTTTTTTGAAAACTTATTATTATCTTTCCTATTTGATTCATCATCCTATTTGAGCTTATTTCATGTTCTTAACATTATCAAATATACTTTTTCTTTTAATTTAAACATTGACAAACCATTAAAAACATTAATTTAATTAATAAATATCGTAGAACAGTATCAGTTTTGTCGTAGGTTATTTAATTGTTTCTCAATGCAGTTAGATAACCCAAAAGTAATAAAGCAATTTAACTAGTCCTTAAAGCATTGAATGGTTATTAACTTGTTTGAAACACTCCTTTTTCATTGTAATTAAGAATTAACAGTGTTTAGCTGAATTAAAGATCTGTCTGGGACATGCTTTTTATTTGCTTAACTTCACTAGGGAATGCTTAAAGGTAGTTTAAGAATCAGTGTGGAAGTTTAGTTTTAAACACACTGAAGGAGTAGTATTTCCAAGTTTCTTATAGTTGCATTGTGATGTGAAATTGATCAGAGAATTATTATACTTTGTGTTGGTGTTGCAGCGATTGCTACATTGGATTTTCGAGACCCAACAGAATACTACATGGAATGTCTCTTACGTGCGTACCCACAAACCCTCCCAAGTCTCTACGAGTTAAGGCGCCACCTACAAGAGCCACCACCGGAAGACCTACGTTTTCCTCTCCGAAGAGATGTGTACGAGGAACTTCCCCAAGGGAAGGAACTCTTCTTCACAACCACACCCGAGCCCTTGGACTGCAGAACCATAATGTACGACATCGTGGGCCCCATTATCCGCATCCACAACCCTAGCCTCTCCCTCGCTGCATCATCCAGCCGCGACTCCTTCATCCCCCTCTGGGACGAGTGCATCAACCGCGTCATCCAAAAGTTCTGCCCCGAAGAACTCACCCTAATACGAAAACCCACGTCACCGCCACCAGAATCGACGAACCAGTCCATGTTGCAAGACCAATGGCCCAACGTAACCGGTTTCGTCAACAATTACTGTCTCTGGAGAGGCGAAGAAACGCACCAGTTGAAAGAGTCGCAACCCAATCCATCAACGACGTTAGTAGGGAAACTCATGTGGACATACATGGATCTTCCGTACATTCTCGGATACTACGCGGTGGCCAATACTGTGACGTTTTGCGCGCTGAGTAGGTCGCAGGATGGAATAATCAACCGCACCGATTTACACGAAGTGAACTTGACCACCCCGGTGGAAAAGCTGAAGGCTTTGGTTCCGTGTTTCAGAATAGGATTGTTGTTAGCGTTGTTGAGTAAGCGTTGCGCGAGTATAAGCAACTGCAAGGGATTTACATACAGTGATTTCGAGAGGGTTTGCTACGGTAACGGGGTGGTGACGGAGGTGACGCCGAGTACGTGCACGAGGGTGTTTATGGAGAAGCGCAAGTGGATGGCGGTGAAGGAGGTTTATGAGATTCTGGACCACAGGATACCGCATGCAGAGGTTTTGGTGGGTTTTTCGGAGAGGGAACTGGGGTTGTCGTTTAAGCCAAGAGGCTGCCGTGTGAAGCCGGGAAACTGCGAAGAGTTGGTGGAGGCATTGAAGTTCGTGACGAAGGCGATGGTGGCTTTACACGACCTGTCGTTCATGCATAGGGATTTGAAGTGGGAGAAGGTGATGCGGCGGAGGGATCGGGAGGAGTGGTTTGTGTGCGGGTTTGACGAGGCGGCGGGAGCACCGGAGCTGAAGGGACACGTGTCAGGGACGCGTGGTGGGCACGCGCCGGAGATGGAACGGGGGTTGCATGGGGTGAAGGTGGATGTTTGGGGAGTGGGGAACTTGATTAGGACGTGTGGGTTGGGAGGGGTGCCGAAGATGCTTAGGGAGTTGCAGAATCGGTGCATGGAGCAGAACCCGGAGCAGAGGCCCACGGCGGCGGACTGCTACCACCACCTGCTGCAGCTGCAGTCGTCGCTGTCAGCCGCCGCCGGGGGAGTCATGATGATGTGATTGATGATGAGAATGGAAAGGCATTGTTTGGTTGGTTGGTTTTAATTTAATGTGACGAGAGAATAATTTCGTTGTTGGTCTAGGTTCGGGTCGGGGTTTATTATGTAACTTTTTTGGCATTGGATATTATTTGATTTGAGAATTTGAGAATTTGAAAGGGAAAATGATTTTTTTTCAAATAATGTTATTTGTTATGGATATTTTTTTCTTTGGAATGTGTCTGTTTTTCATCATTGGAAGCTTGACTTTATTCAGAAACTTTTAGTTTAAAAGTAAATTGAATAATTCCGAATGCATAATTTTTCTTCGTACAGATAAGTGTTAAATATTTTTCATACAACATTAAAGATGAATGCAGTCTTATTTAATCTAATTTAATGTAATCACTCGTCATCTTTTTAGTCGCAAAAGTTAAAAATAAAATATAAAGTAATATTGAGTAAAATTAAGAACAAGGCAGTAAAAAAAAGTAAATAAATGCATAAAGATTTGAACATTTTAGATGTGTTTGTGAGGAGTGAGGAAGGTAGAAATGTGCAGAAGTAGACATAGGAGTTGGTTGTGGAAATGGCGGCTGGTGGTGGCTGAGAGGTAAGTCTGATAAAATAAAAAAGAATCCAAGAATTGAAAGTGTGTTAATGGGAAATGAAGTTGAGTGGAGCAGTGTTTTTCACAGCATTGTTTGGTAGCATCTCAGCTTGAGCAAAGTTGAGGTGAGAAGCTTCATCTTTTCATCAATGTTCTTTCCTTCTATACACCTTTATACATCTTTCCACTTTTCGTCAAACTTGTATAATTTCCCTTTAGCTCATTTTTTCTTTTACTATTATTTTTAACTTGTACTGTTGTTTGATTCACGATTTTATTTTATTTTATTATATATTTTCTTACTACGAAGTGTTGGTGGAGGATTGAGTATAATTTAACAATTGGATATATATCTTAAATTAACTAATATACCAAGCATTTACTTTTACTCAGAGGATAAAAAACTGATAAAATGACATTATTCGGCATATGCAAATTTTTTTAGCAAACCTAGTTAATTTGTCTTTGGTAAACTATATGAAGAAAAAAAATTAGGTTTGGGATTCGATTTTAGATATTATGAACAGGTAGAAGTTTTTTAATCATCTTTATGGACTTTGTTCAACTAAAAGAGTTATTAAATGAATTTGAAATATTTGAAGGTAAATTCTTTTAGTTATTTATTTGAGTGGATTTTTGAGGGTAAGTGAGAGTGAATTTGAAAGTAAAGTTTGCGAGAAGTAGTGTAGAATTTGATTGATGTGACAGATTAAAAAGTTTGTTCATTTTAGTCCTTTTATTGAAACTCTTATGTTTATCCTTAAAATTTGAACGACGTTAAGTTTTTGTATGAGGTTGGCTAACGTGGCAGGTCTATGCGACATTTTTTTTTCTAAAAATATTTGTACGTTTTTTTCCCAAATCCTCCTTCTTCTTCCCCAACACCCAAAACGTCTGCTCATTCTCTTTCACCCCCCACCACCTGTTGCTCTCCTTCCATTCATTTTTACGCCTTCCTCGAAACAATCTTCCCCCGTGAACCACCTTCACCGCAAACCACCATGAACCTGCGAAGTAGAAGAACCCAAGTCTGAGAATCGTAAATTCTCAAACTGTGAGCAAACCTACCATTGTCCTAATGAACTAGCAAACTAGAAAACCACATCGCAAGACCTCCATGAACCCAAATCGCGATCACTATCTTCCTTCGTCCTAATCAGAAACCTGTAGAAAACCTAGAAATCCAAATCACTTTGAAACGTAAGAGTTATATTGAAGACTTTCTCAATGAGTCCGATATATATAAAAGTAAAAGTCGATTCTATTACAATCAACAGAACAATGCAATAGAATTCGACTATATGAAAGACCGAACGGTGCAAGCGTTAAGGGACGATGAGGAATTTGAAAGACCGAATGGTTATGGTACAGGATGGGTGCAATATATGAAAGACCGAACTGGATTGTTGGATAAAGACCAAACAGTTATGGTGACTGGATGGCGATGGTGACCGAACGGTGACGGTTGCACAGGGCTAAAAGAAACAGGATTCAATCAGGCATGTGTCACTCCTCAAACAAAATCCTACCAAATACCCACTTCTCTTCTGCTAATGTGAAAGAAATCACAGAAAAAATCCCAATCATGATTCTCATCCTTTACCACGAGACCAATTTGCGAACCTTAACTCGCGGTGCCATGGTCATCCTTAAACCGAAACCAATTCAAAACCCTTAACCCATCGCCTTTTTCTCCTCCATCAACCCTCAAGCCTAACAACCACCATCATCCATTGCATTCATCTGCGTCACCAACATGCACAAAAACCAAAAACCAAAAACCAAAAACAATCACAAACTCCTCGCGCCTCAACCAATCAGAAATCGCGAGTGTGAGATCGCCATTCTTCTCGTGCACCTTAGTTTCGCAGTGCCGCTGTGAAAAGCCACTTGTAAATTAAAACCAGGAAACCCAACTAAAATGTAAGCAATTGATCAATGCAAAAAATGTCAACCTGTATTAAAACCGGTAGAAGTCATTTTTCTGACTCTTGCGTTGAGCGGGGATTTCTGAGTCATTTTTCTGACTTCCCCCCGAGCGGCTTGAGGCAGGAGTCATTTTTCTGACTTACTGCGTTGAGCGAGGATTTCTGAAGTCATTTTTCTGACTTCCCCCCGAGCGGTCTTGCGGCAGTAATCATTTTTCTAACTTTCTACGTTGAGCGGGGATTTTTGAAGTCATTTTTCTGACTTACCCCCGAGCGGTCTTGAGGCATGAGTAATTTTTTTGACGTCCTACGTTGAGCGGAGATTTTTGAGGTCATTTTTTGACTTACCCCGAGCGGCTTGAGGCAGGAGTCATTTTTTTGACTTCCAGCGTTGAGCGGGGATTTCTGAAGTCATTTTTCTGACTTCCCCCCGAGCGGCCATTATAACCTGACACAGTTGAAGGTAGGTCTGAACCTTTCTGCACATGATATTTTATAATTTATAATTTATAATTAAGAATTCGTAGAACCTGACCTAGTGGAGGTCTAAACCTGCCTGCACATAATATTATTAAATTTATAATTTAAAACTAAGTTCGGATAGAACTTGACAAGGTTGAACGCATGCTCTTAACCATCCTGTGCATAAAATTTTATAATTTAAAATTAAGAGCGTAAACTTGACAAGGTGGAACGCGCATTTCTGAACCATCCTGTGCAATAATATTTCTATAATTTTACTTAAATTAAGAGTCGGTAGAACCTGACAAGGTTGAACGCATTTTGACTCATCCTGTGCATATTAATTTTATAAGTTATAATTTAAATTAAGAGTCGGTGAACTGACAAGGTTGAACGCACTTTCGAACCATCCTATGGATAATATTTAAATTTATAATTTAAAATTAAGAGTCGCAGAACCTAACTCACAAGTTGAACGCATTTCAAACTATCATGTGCATATTATTTTATAATTTATAAATTATGATGAAAAGTGGAACCTGAACATAGGACTAAACCTTTTATGTGCACGATAAAGATATTTTTACTCACAAAAATATGAGTTAAACAAATATATTATAAATTATAATGAAAAGTGGAACCTGCCAAGGTTGAACGTATGACTGAAGCTTTCTGTGCAGGATATTTTTATTCACAAAAATATGAGTTAAAAAAATATATTGTATTTAAAAAATTAGATTTTTATTAAAAGTGGAACCTGTCAATGATGAATGTAGGACCGAACTTTCTTTCCTGAAAGTTCTCAACAAAAGACACGTCTTTAGGAATTATTACGGAATTTTTTGCTCTTGTTGCAAAACCCGGTGTTGATCCAAAGTAGCGATGTCGAGACCGAGCACGCGTCTGGTTTTATGTGGCTTCATGGGGATGCCGCTCGACCCCACGGTGGATGCCAAAATGTTTCGGTTGAATTGGTCCGAGGGTCGGTCGTCATTCCTTGCTATGCTCTCTTTTGATCTTCAATCCCTCTTAGAACGCGATCCAACT